TGAGGATCCCCCTTTTGGAGTGTCTCTTTGATCACTTACCCTCTACTGCACGTGTGGGTGTACTCTATGATATTGGCTGTCAACTTCATCGAAGTTGTGTTAAATGGGGTTTTCTAAAAGACTTTCATGATCGTTTGATATGGGCTATCTCAGTGTTTCATGCTTATGGTCATGAGTGGGCTTGCCAGCTTATTTACCATCCAAGAAAGTGTACTGGTTTTGGATTAACTGATGGTGAAGGCTGTGAAAGATTCTGGAGCTCAATTAAGCTTTTGATTCCGTCACTGTGTGTTAGTGGCTACTACACACGTATCTATACAATTGATACCCAAGTGAAACATCTGGACTGCAAATCTCTCATGGGTCTGGGAGACTGGCTAAGGAGAAAATGGAATGCTGCTATTCTGCGAAGAAATGAGGCTACAGCTGTTTTGGCTGAACTTCAGCAGAAAAATATCACTGAAGATCTCTTGAGAACAAATTGGGCTGCTCAGATGGCTCACCAGACAAAACCAAGTCCCAGGCAAGGAAAAAACTTGGCGGACAAGGTTATTCAAGAGATTTTGGAGCTAAAGGATTCTATGACAGAACTCAAAACAGAGCTATATAAGTTTGAGACAATGATTCAAAATAGTGTTCGCAGGTCCAGTCTACAGGACTGAAAATATACATAGGACTGAACTGGACTGAACCATGGTCCGGTCTTTTCCAGTTGCCAGTTGCCCACATTTGTGATCAGTCCAGTTGCCAGTTGCCATGTTTTTGTAAATATATAAAAACCGAAAAAGACCGGTTTAGACCGGTTGCAACCGGTCTTTCGTCTCATCACATATTGTACCTTACTTGTGCACATTTTACTTAATTTTCGGTCCCTGAATCATCAAAAACGGTCAAGAATTGGTTGAGATATGGCCAAAAACATTTTTATACGCAATTTGAATGTATGTTCTCTCCGTTTTCACCATATCTCAGTCAAATCTTGACCGAATCGCTTCAAATTTTGGCCAGCGTACGGAGAATTAAATTATCTATCTACGCATGCTATATACATGAGGTAACATTTAATATATCTGGCACAATAAATTTTTCAACAAAAGACCGGTCGCAACCGGTCTGGACCGGTTTTTTTTGCGTTGTGGACCGATTAGGACCGGTCCAAAGCGGTCCGGTTGCGGTCCCTCAATATTTGGATCGGTCTAGACCGGTTGCGGTTGCCAGTTGCGTCGTTTTGAGGTAAAAAACTGGACTTAACTGGACCTGCGAACACTAATTCAAAAGGGGAAATATGATGATGGCTGGGATGTTTCAGATGTTAGACTGCATCTGGAAGATCTTAAGGAAAAATTTGAGAAGACTGAGAAGTCATTGAAGTCTAAAAGTGCCACATTGGGAGCTGATAGCCGTTTAAATCTTGAACGCTTGCTGGGCAATAAGTTCCTTCGACTCCGGGTCAATGCTTTAGCTGTGAAACAACACTTGAGAAATCGTCTGCAACAGCGCAAATTTGAACTAGATAGTTTAGAGCGAGCATATCGTAAGACAACAACCAATAGTAAGTGACTGAGCCAACTTTTTGAAAAAATGGGGACTTATATTCTTTTTGAAGCCAAAAAACTACAGGAACATTCAGAATCTCAAATAAAGCGCAAAGAACCAGGAATTCAAAAGTTGGCCAAGAAATATAATGATATCTGTGCTGAACTGGAAAAGATGATTAAAAGAAAAGAAAGTCCTCGTGGTGCATGTGCACCACACAGAATAGCCACTGATGGCCTGTTCAAACTAGATGTTGATGATGACATCTGGCAGGATGTTGGTTTAGATGACATGGATCTCTCTTCTGGCAGGGAAATCCCACAATGGCTGGGTGATGAAGGTGTGCGGAAAGGAATTAAATCATTATTGGAGCTGGATCGATGCCAGGAAGAGCTGCGACGATTGTCCTATGAGCGTAGTGCAATGCAAGAATGGTTTGCAGAAGAGTGGAAGTGTGTTATGATGGCTATGCAAAGTGAGCAAGATCAAGATGTTAGGTATCAACTGGAGTTACATGCATATACTTTGCTATGTCTATGCAACATCTGGCAGGATAAAGTACGCTTAGTGATTCCACACAAGACAATGAGTCCATCTTGGGGTCCAACAGTTGAGGAACTTGCACTGGCCCGAACCTGGGAATCATCTGAAATGACAATGGAGAATGAGATTGATGGTGAAGAAGAGGATGAGAGTGATGATGATGAAGACCAAGAGGATGATGGTGAAGAGCAAGAGTTGCTTGAAGCTGTTGAAATGGTAGCACTTTCTGATGAGTTCCGTAATAGTTACATGCAATAGTTGGAATGTACTGAATTGAATAGCATGTGAAAAAATAGACTTCTGGGTGTGGGCCAGTGCTTTGCATGGCATGTATGAGTCCTTTCTGTGGACTCTAAATTTAATATTAGGAAATTGGTCATGTAATCACTTTATGATTTTCTGAGTTTTGTTCTATATTTGCAAATAGACCCTGAGCTCTGAGCCTAGCCATCAATATCATAGCAACAATGTGTGCTATTCTTATTTTTCTTTGATTTTTTTTTGATTTTATAGCAAATTTTCCCAATTTTATAACTATTTTTCTGTTTATGGTAAAATATTCCCACAGTCCTGTCTGCATATATCTCAGGAAAGAGGATGGTTAGTTATATTTTGTGACCTATAATAGCATGCTCTATATATAACTATTTTTTTGTTTATGGTAAAATATTCCCACAGTCCTGTTTGCATATATCTCAGGAAAGAGGATGGTTAGTTATATTTTGTGACCTATAATAGCATGCTCTATATATTTGTGATGAATTTCCTTTTTTGGGTTAAAATTCCCATGGTATCAGAAGCACAGCCTCTCACTTAGCTCCATAAACAACAATTGTAGCCCCTTTCCTTACCTTTATAGATATATATAAATAATGTCATGCAGACCATTCCTCATTGAGAAAAACACAAAATACTGAAAAAATTGGACACTTTTTGGAAATTGTCATGCATTTTTGACCAATATCTCAAAGAGCAAGAAAGCTGGTCTCAAGATATAGTCACATTGCATGATATGACAATATTTTTACATGGTTGTCTTGATTTCCATATTTGGATATGGACCCTGAATACTGGACACAGCCCCTTCAACACCATGGCAACAGAGAAGATCACTCTTAATTTTTGGGTATTTTTTTCTGATTTTCTGGCAACTTTTAGGTGGTTTCTATATTTAGATATTGACCCTGAACCCTGAACAAAGCCTCCCCACCTTACTAAGCAATATTCTGATTTTTACATATTTTTTGCTGATTTCTTTTACCATTTTTCCTGATTTTATGGCTGCTTTTCTGTTTAAGGGAAAAGGTTCCCGCGGTGATGAAAGGTAAATGAATCAATGAATGAAAAATTTGCCTAAGTCCTCAGTTGATAAAGAATGAGTCTTACTCGTAAACTCGTAAGGACTCATAACATATGAAGGTCAACAACGAATTGGAGATAAACACACATAATTCAGTTGGCGAGCCAGGATCTGACATAGAAGGTGAGGAAATTGTTATGAGTCCTCTGAGTTTACGAAGAGACTCGTTTATTACCCAGGATCTCAGGACTTTTTTCAGCGCGGTAACGCTGAAATTTGACTTTCTCCCACGAAAGTGATTTCTTCCCACGATCATCTGCTTGGTTCGCCTACATCACTTCCCTAGTCTACTTGACCATTCCTTGATTATTACTGTCTTTTAGCCCTATCCAGGTTGTCGTTGATGTAGCTTGTGGCTAATATATTGCTCTATCTGGCTTCCAGACTCTGATGAATGAATGCATTGCCTCTATTTTCATGTTCATGCAACTCAACTTGTTTACATTGAAGGTACAACAATTAAGGTCCTGACAACTTGTGCAAATGAGCCCATGCTCTGGTGAAACAGGCCACAGGAATGTACTGAGCAGTTGGTGAGCATAAGGCAAAAAAGCGAAAATACAAACCTACTTACCTGGATGGGAACTCAACCATTTTGTAAATGGCTTTGTGGAGCATGTTTGTGGAGTGTGTAGGTATTGAATTGAGTCCACACCCATGCAAAATGGACCAAAGGAAGGTACTGAACAATTGGTGAGCATAAGGCAAAAAAGCAGAAATACAAACCTACTTACCTCAATGGGAGGTTGACCGTTTTGTAAACGGTTTCATGGAGCTTGTTTGTGGAATGTGTAGGTATCGAATCAAGTCCACACTCATGCGAAACGGACCACAGGAAGGTACTGAACAATTGGTGAGCATAAGGCAAAAAAGCGAAAATACAAACCTACTTACCTCCATGGGAAGTTGACTGTTTTGTAAACGGTTTTGTGGAGCTTGTTCGTGGAATGCGTAGGTATTGAATCGAGTCCATGCTCAATCAAAATGGACTGCAGGAAGGTACTGAGAAGTTGTGAGCATAATGGTGAATATTCCGCATCAAAAGGAACGACTCACAAGTTGAGTCACGGAAATTTCCGAAAATGACGTACTTCCCTTGCGGGCTACCTTCTAGAGATTCTGTGCACCCTATAACATCCCAAAATCAACATTGAAATGACTCCCACTTATTTGTGAATATTTGTTACTGTTTAACCTGTATATCAATAGTCTTTTAATTGATCAGATGTAAAATTTATCATCTATTTCGTTTTTGCAACTGTTTATTTGTGTTTGTTTACTGGGAACGTAACATCACCATGACCACAGAAATGAGGAGTACCCATCACAAAAGAAATCATGTTATTTGGATCAAAACTCGCTGAGTTATACATGAATCTGTATTTATTACCGAAAATGGTAACTGATCTGAGATCTACTATGACGCACGAAACTGTCCCCCATCAAGCGATCGGGAAATGTTCGTGCGTCATCGCTTCTTGAGTTCCAAGCGTTGCCTAAAGAAAAATGTGTAACTTTACCAAATCAAGTCCAATTCAGATGAAATAAAATGCAGAAAAAATGTAAAATTTCAGGGATCATACCTGTATACAATTCATTATGTAATAAGGTCAAAGTACAAATAAACATACTTTTTCAAAGAAGAATCTGAAGCTCACCATCATAAAATCTAAAATAAATGAAATAAAACACCGAGAAAAATACAGTGTGTTTTTATGTATATTATGTAATAAAAGCTATGTGCACAAAATCAAGCTAATGCAAGCTTTTTCAAATGAAGAAGTAGCAATAAATTGGCACAAAAATTAGAAGAACATGGCTGATGGTGCTCACTGTTGGTGACAACATTTGAAAACACTCTCAGGGTCTCTGGTAAATTTCCATATATGGCACTCAGCATTTGTCCAACTGAAAAATAGCAATTAAATGGCAGAAAAAATGGAAAACAATTGAAGAATGGTGCTAACTGTTGATGTTGATGTTAGGACTGTTTCAAGGGTCCCAGGTGCATTTCCTTATATGGAAATTTATTCAACAATTGCCAGAAAATAACACAAAAATCAGAGAAAGTTGGAATATGGTGCTCATTGTTAGCAATGATGTTATGAGTCCTCTGAGTTTATAAAGACACTAGTTTGTTACTCTCTGATCTCAAGGATTTTTTCAGTACTTCTAACACTGAATCTTGCCTTTCTTCCCATGGTTTGATGATGTTGTCAAACATTTTTTGAAAGGAAAAATAGCGATAAAAACAGAAGACAAATCAGGAACAAATGGGGGACAATATGCATTGTTGATGACAATGTTGGGGACCATTTTCAGAGTACATGGCATATTTTCAACTGAGGTAATGTGCACTTTTTGAATCAAAAAATGGCAATATAATAGTGGAAAAATCAGAAAGAAATTGAAGGAAGATGCTCACTGTTTGTGCAATACTGGGGAGCATGTTCAGGGTCCAGAAGAAAATTCCATACATAATAATCTAGTTAAAAATAGCTATAAAGGACTGGAAAAAATTAGTGAAAATGGAGCATAGTACTTATTGTCGCTTTCAAGGTAGGGACTCTCTGTAAGGTCCAGTATTTTATATACATGGAAATATACAATTTGTCCAATAAAAAATAGCAATAATATATATAATGGGTATAGATCTGATGGGCTTTCAGAAGGTGGTCACATGACCAGTTTCCTAAATAATCAAAAATGTGAATGCTGTGGTGCTGCATTGTGGCTTCCTGAATATAAAAAGGACTCGTATCTGCCATGCTTGCAATGGCCCTCTTACACAAGTTGGAGAGGATGACTGTGATTCAATTTCTGGGAAAAGAATCATAGGTGAGTCCACTACTTGATGATCGAGGAATGAATGTCCAACTAATACCTGTAAATGAAGGTCGATGCAAAGGAAAGGCTGGCTGTCTGGATTGTGCGTACAGGCCTAAGTTCATTATATCAGGAACATGGCGGAAAGACTGAATAAAAAGCAGAACACAAACCTGAGTGATGATAATGAAAGTTCATGGCGATACCAACAAAGCAGAAAGTGAAGTTGATGGTTGAGATGAACGATGGGGAAAAAAACACTAAGTCCTACACCAGACAAATTCACTCATTCACTATTTTCTATTATTTGGAGCAAAAGCAATTTATCAAGGGACACTTGTTCAATACAGCTGCAGCTATGACGTTCGATGGAATACCAAACATCCACCCTGATCCCAGCTCCAGAACGTGACCCTGCAAAGGGGTAACTGACAGAATATGCATATAACAATATACGCCACAAATGTATACTAGTGGCGTTAGAGGTTCCTCAAACCAGTTAGGGTTTTCAGAAACAGAACTGCATGACCAAATAGGGTAGGCATACAGCATTAGAACAGCATAGGTAAAACCACAGTTTTTCATGAAGTTATCACAAAAGCTAACTAATTACCTGGAGTGTCTACAATTTCAAACAAGGTTTAACAACGACCGAGAGGAACAAACAATCTATGGGTTGGTAATTTCCAAAACCCTCTAGTGAGTATTATATTGAGCTAAAGAGTGCCACAGGGATTCAAAATGCATCGGAAAATATGTCTAGCCAAGTCATCCGTTGATATCGCACCATATTTTGTCAAAAACCCTCTAGTGAGTATTATATTGAGCTAAACAGCGCCACAGGGATTCAAAATGCATCGGAAAATATGTCTAGCCAAGTCATCCGACAATATCGCACCATATTTTTTTCAAAAACTCTCTAGTCAGTATTATATTGAGCTAAACAGCGCCACAGGGATTCAAAATGCATCAGAAAATATCTAGCCAAGTCATCCGACGATATCGCACCATATTTTGGCAGGGCTCATCAACCACTGCAGATCTGTTGGTAAGGCCACCAAAAACTCCAAGAGAATCAAACCCACCCCACCTTCTGTAGTTGGAACACTTTACCAGTCACAGTACATCGTTCACTACAATGGATTCTTTTTACAACAAGATAGAAGCATGCAAGTACCCTCTTTAACTGGATGTGTAGAGTCACTAATTTTATATACTAGGTGATCTGCTTGAGGCCGTCATAACTGCTAGGACAACGAAGGGTCCAAAGGTTGTACAATTGGCGTATTTTAATTCGGTGAGCAGTGGTATAGTGTTATAGATTATCTGAGACATACTCACACCCCAATAACAGGTGGATGGAATGTCTGATTTACTTGTGTAAGAGGCCATTGCAAGCATGGCAGGAACGAGTCCTCATTTCCAAGGCCATTATTGCCCTAGACTCTAAACAGGGTACCCTAGCATCATCATCAATGTGTAGCATGCTAGTAAGTATCCTACCTATCCTACCTATCTACCCTTTCTACCTCCTGAGACTTGCCTCCATTGATTGACCCATATGCCCACTCTTCATTCTTTGTATCACCACACATTACGCTTTATGTAATCACTGTAATTTACCTTGTGTATGTAC